GATCCAAAATAGTTTATCTTCACTTGTTGTGTTGGGTTTTCTTTCACTCCCACTACACCCATGTCGATGTGCTTTCGTTCCCGGAAAGGCCTTTGGCAGAAGCTCCGAGGAGATCCTCAAGGCCATGCAAAGACGGATGGGCAGTGGATGGACCAAAACGCCACTTTGGTGGTGAGGGTGTCCACAGAAGAAGGCCTTTGGAAGGTTTTAGGGATCACACCAAGCAGCAAGCAGCCAACAACAGCCAATTTGGGCATTTTCTTGTCACAAAGCAGAGGCTTTTGGTCAAGGTGCTAAAAGATTCTGGACCCTCACACAATATAGGTGGATGGCCGCCATGTCTTTCAATATTCTTGGAATTTCATCATTTGGGGAGAAAGTTTCTACTTTCTCCTTTTCTCGTGCTGGCCCAGGCCGTCGACACCAATGGAGACGGCTCCATCGACTTTGAGGTTCGCTCCCGTTTTTCGAAGGCGTCACCTCCCCGTTGTTCGAGGAAGTACTCTGTGTAGGAGGAACAGCGTCCAATCCGAGGCTCAGCACCACTCCGCAGATTCAACAGATTCAAAAGAGCTCATTCAGTTTGAGTGGACAACTTGTCCAAATCTTCAAACCAAGTGGAAGACTACAATCACTGGATCTTGCTCGCTGTTCCTGCGCCCAGGAGTTTATGGCCATGATGAGAGGAGACACGGCCGAGACAGTTGCTAAGGCCAGGCAGGTGTGAAGATTGAAATCTGTTCGCCTGACGACTCCTACGCGGTGGGGCCGGTTGGGTGAGCATTCCAGATGGACGACCGTCGACTCGTGTGCAAAATTGCAGGAGTCTGCAAAAAACCGCACGCGATCATGCTCATTAAATCAATGTGTGCGAGACGTGAGCGTCATCTTTTTAGCACCATGGCAGGAAGAGGTGTCGAATGTCTAGGACAGTCAAGCCAGGTGACCTCTTGCATAAATGTACTGCATAGTCATCTTGAAGTAGACAGAATATGCAAAATCCATCAACATCCCAAAACCAAGAGGTATATAATGCTTTCCGATTGCTTCATATGTCTCTATTCCAGGATGGAGGTTGAATTACACACCTTTGCTTCCGAGTGGGTCGTGGAACCGACAGGTTGAGACGCGTGCATCTTTCTGACCAAGGCGAAGGGATGAGTCCCACGGGCGAAAAAAGTCACACGGCCCAAGGATATCCAAGGACCAGTGCAACCGATCATCCTTAATTAAAAACACCAACATATACAACTAGAAGGAATGGCTTCCAACCTAATAGCGATGGCCTCCACCCTACTAGCGATGGCCTCCAACCTACTAGCGATGGCCTCCAACCTAATATCATCCTTGATTGAACATTAAGGCATTTCAGATCCTTTCCCTTTAGCCACAGGCAAATCGCTGACATTGCAAAGATGTTGTGTTCGGAAAATCCAACAATCACCAGACGAGATAATGTCCTTGGTTGTCTGTTGCTCAAGCCTGCGCAACCTGCAGCTGTAGAAAGCCATCTACAGTCCTTATGAAACACCATGGACACTGTGTTAGGATCCAAATCTATGGGATGACTTTTCCGTGGAGGTTTTCCGCATCCCAGAACTAAGAATGGGTTGACTTTTATCACTTCAGCAAAGGCTGAATTCTCCACGGGCGGAGCTTGGAGGCTCGGACGCCTCCAAATTCTCTCCACCACGGCTACTTGGTGGAAGTTGCCAGGCCTTTCCTGCTGAGTGCTCACCAAGAATCACGCAGTAGGAGGCACCGCCAGCGGCTTCACCGGGGTGGGCAGTGCTTGGGTTATCAACTCATCGTTTGGAGGATCCATGATCATCAAGTTGACACATGTCAGAAAACGTAGTTGGTAAAAAACCCGACATGTTGGGATTTCGGTTGACCACTGAAAGTAGATGAAATCGACTACCATTGCATGGGATATGGACATTTTTGGTACTATAGATGACAGGTGAATTCAGGGATCAAGGGGAATTTCATTCTGCACAGCTGTGTGAGTTGTTGTATTGGACGGGTTCCCAAACACCACTGCCCCCCCGCGGCTTGCCTTTGAAGAGTCCGGGATTCCGGCTGCTTGGAGGGAGAGTGAGACTTGCGGATCTCTTGTAATTACTTCCAATAGCTTCTTGTTACTACTAGTAAGGCACTTTTTACTAGAAGCGATGCACTTGTTACTAGTAGAATTAAGTGTAATTAGAATAATTGATTACCTTAAGAAGCACACCTTCACAAGGATACATACAACTGAGGTGATAGCGATACCGCATTCCGAGGTCTTTGGCTGAGGCAATAGAGTCTCAATAGAGCAAGAGGAGGGATTCATGGTGTCCATCAAAAAGGTGCCTAGAGGAAAATAGCTCAATATTGATACTCAGGAGTCGAATAGAACACCTCCTCTTTGGTGTTCTTTGTGTGGAGTCAACAGGTGATCTAGACCTCTATATACATCATTGCGCGCCTGAATCAAACTCTCAGCAATGCTTGGGGATTCCCAGGCACATCGAAGATGAACAGCGGCAGGCCTGCTCACCGCGGGGGTCACTGGGGTGGTACGGACTACGCCACCCCGAGACTTCGAGGAGATGCCACAACTCAGTACCAGCACGACATCATGGGCACCTTAGTGTGTTTATTTTTCTTATTTTTTTGATGAACCTTCTGTTCTTTCAGGTTTTCCGCGTTTTGGCTAGTGTCGGTTAGAGGCGCCTTCTGCTCTTTTGGGTTGGGAAAAGAAAGACATCCGAATCCAAATGTCAATGCCCCCAGCCGTCCTCAATTCAACTTTCCATTCTGTGCTTCCGCACGCCAAGCTCTGCTGCTCTCAGGCAGCGCAAAAGGCGAAGCCAGGGGAGCCATTGAAGCTCAGCTCCTGCAGCAGACAGGAGTACGTCAGTTTCCGCGTCGTAGTTACCGTCGCTGGCACGTTGGAGAAGAGCTCCAAAAGGAACCAACGGAGTGCTTTTTGTTTGATGCCATGATGACGCCTGAGCCGTACCAGCAAAGAACAAAGGGGACAGAACGAAGAAACTAGTAAGTGTCTATCAGGCCTTTCTTGGAGCCGAGCCGAGCCCTGAAAAGGGCATCGACAATCATTGCGGCAGTGATAATGTCGCCGCATTTTGAAGCCATATTATTTGTTCACGATTTGTAGAATTGTGCGTGAATAAATCCATTGTTCATTGGGATCAATCATCGCTGCAAGGGTTATATTATCTCGCCTTGAATAATATCCCTCATGAAGGAAATGTCTCAACAGCTTGCTTGAGCGTTTGTAGAGATGGTTGGAGAAACGTCATTGAATCATTGAAGTTACCCTACATTGCAGGTTGACCACTTGACATATCCTGCTCATATGTCCATGATCTGCAATGCAAGGCATCGGGCGGTGGTCCATGTGTCCGCTGCCTGATTGAGAGACGGAGACGAGAGAGCTCTTCTCTGAGGTGCCATACATAGGAACCGTTGATTTGCAATTTTGGAGAGCCGTCAACCACCCTTTGCAGAGTACCGTGTCACTGATGTGCCCCAACCAACCAGTTTCTTTTTCGGGTCGTGGGGGCGTCAACGCCCCGTGAGAAGTGCAGCACTTCGTTTTTGGATGACTTTCATTTCGGTACATGGTCATACCCGCTTGAGTCACCAAACTGCTTCTTCACGTTCTTCACCAAAGCGAAGGATTTTGCAAAACAGGAGTATTCACTGGGTTTTTCCGCCTCTTGGGGGTGGTGTCGAAGAATTCCCTGCTCTCCTGTGTGGTACAGGGTGGGGTTCTCACGCCGCCCATCGTACAGCTGAACGGAGAGCGAGTAGAGGACGGCCGTGCCCGCTGATTGGAAATCTCAAACAAAGCACATGCCTTTGATTTTAAGATATTTTAAGTATATCCAAGTCATGCCTTTTCGCGTTCGGCACCGACCCAGTTGCCCCTCGGGGCCAGTCACGGCTGGTTCCGCTCGGGTCTCGTACGTGCAGCTACTTCATAAGGAAGTGATGCATGGGAACTGCCGTCTGCGCCGAAGAGACGAAAAGGATGGTTTGAGTTAGGTCCGGTGGGTTAGGTGGATGTGGGGGATGTAGTCCTCAATGTTTGCTTCGAGATTGGACTGGTTAGACGTCCTCTGAAAAAAGGGACCTACATCGATTCTAGGAGTCGATGAGTTGACCGAGGTGAGCGGAACTGGGACTGCCTTTGTTCAAGATTTTGCTTCGCAAAACAGACTGCCAGGCTGCCACTCATATGCATCTCCTATTACCAACATAATCTTGGACCCCGTCAGGCATGTTTTGAGCCACTTGGACTCTGATTCTTCTAGTACCGCGCTGTAATATGCTGTAATTCTGATAGGTTTGTCGACCGGAGGCACAGCATGCAAGTGCCGGTGGACTTGTGGGAAGCCTGAAGATTCATTGGGCAAATACACCCAGAGGACGAGTGGACCAGATCCATGGTACAGACAAGATATGGCCAAGGATTAAATACGACACTCCCTGAAATAATCATGGAAGTGGATCGCACCACCTGTTTGGTGCGACTTTGCAGAGCCACTGCATTTGGAAGAAATTGGCCAGGGAGTCTACGGAATACACCCAGCACAGTTGCACATTCACCAGAATCGCCGCTTCTGCTTCCAGCCGCATGAGGCTCTTGATAGCTAAAAAAGACGCCGCTGCCACAAGACAGTGAGTGAGGAGGGCTGAGCCCTCAAAAAGACGCAGCTACAGCATGAAAGGGGGGACAGACATTTGGAAAGACCTTCTCATGAGTGTCAGAGAAGAACAAAAGGCAATATTGACTAAGCATCTCACAAACACTGCGGCATTGTCAGCAAGTTTGAGAGACCTTGTTGGTCAGCCCCAAGGTCCATCTGTCATTCATCCTTGCACTGAACGTGTCGCGACAGGTCACAAACAGTCCCTCAGTTGAACAGTTCAGAGAACAGCAAGATAACTATATAAGCGTGACAGTACAATTCACCATCCCTCTTGTTGTCAGGACGCCACAGTAGCTTGTCATATCATTTCATATGAAGTTGCTGTACCTCTCTGGGACCCTCTACCAGGTGCGGGACGGGGCGCTTCGGTGTTTTGCCCACCCAAAGCAGAGACCGACCGTGTCCAATGACATGACAAGTGTCTGCCCATGATGCCCAAGGAACTTTCATAACTCCCACGTTTGGATCTTCAAAGGAGACTGCCCCTTTCATTGGTGCTCTTTCTTTTAGGTCCACCAGCTTTTTTCCTCAGGCCTATGGCGCGACTTTGCCGTCGGGGGCCCTGTCGACGCCGTGCGAGGATCGTGAATCGCGGTGTGTGTTTGTGTGTGTCACCCCAGAGGTCAACTTGACGCACGGGGTTTCCCCAGTCCCCTCGACGCCTCGCAAGCTCCATCCCGGCCTCAACCCAGACTAATGGAGCTGCACCAGGAAGGACCATAGAGACCCCATCTGAGGCTGTGCCACCTTGAGAAGGGAGTGGAGGAAACTGGAAAGCGGGCCAACTCAGCCAACCCTTCCCTTGATTTTGATACAAGCACAAATTCATTCTAACAGAAAAAGAGTGGCTGGCCAAACTAACTAAGAAGACGGACCGTATACCACTAGGACGTCTGAGGGAGGATAATTTGGTGATCTGTCCAACAAAACTCTCGCAGATAAACAATAGTCACTCTTCCACTTCCTGTGGACTGGGTAGCGCTTGTTTCTCTTTGTGTTGCCAGGGCTCCACCAGAACTTGCCTTGTGTTTCAGGACAGCATGTGTTACAACTCTTGGCAGCACAGAATGGCTTCGACAGCAACCTGTTGGCTGGAGGGACACTTGAACTTGGACGCGACACTTCCATTGGGTACTTCGAAGGCGGTTGTCGTCCAGCTTAGACCAACCGCACATGGGCCCCCAATTGATGATCTGACCAGGGCCAGCCATGCATCTAGACATTTGATGGCATTTGATGCATCTAGACATTTGCACAACCACTTCGAACCCCAAAACTATGCAAGTACTAGGACACCTGGAGCCCCTTTCACTAGATCCTAGGCTGTAAGGATTTGCCAGGAGGGAAGGGATTTGTTTGGGACTTATGGCTAGTTTATCAGTTCCTGGATTTGCCATGTTGACCAATCTTCGCCACGCAGATCTGTTTGAAATGGGGTCAGGAGCCTGTACCGCTGGCATGAACGGTGCGATCTCCACTGCAGGTTTGCACATGATGATAGCGCGCGGTGTGTCCACTTTCAGAGGCGCAGAGCTGTGTTGACGTCTGGCAGAAGATCTGGTCAGGGACCAAACATGGGTCGCTAACATTCCTTGGAGAGGGGTAATAATATCTGATGGACTCATCATCACAGAGGTGGATGTTGGACAGTCTTACAGACAGATTTTGGGAGTTCTAGAAAGGCTGGTTCTGTGATTCCTGAGTTCGACCTTTTGCATCAGGACATAGATCTCAAGCTTATATATAGGATTACCAAGGGTTTTGCTACTAGTAAATTAATGGGAAATTAGACTGACTGCTGGAGGGAATGCTCCCAAGTGAACAACCAATGAGTAAATGAACCCCTCTAGTCTTCCCAAAGAAGACATCATTGTGCGGCAGTCCATAGGCCCCTTAGTCATCAACAGTTCTGGACACCTGAAAGGAAGACATGGGAGCGAGGTGTCATTGAGCACTGTCAGTGGCTGAGGCCAGGGCACATTCTCATGTACTCACAGGAGAGCTGGGTGAAGTGAACAACGTGGTGTGTCACACTAGCATCCTGCGCATTTTCTAAAACTGGACACATGATGTTTGCATCTGTTTGCATCTGGGGAGAATCGGATTGTGACCCTTTGAATAGAGATGGTGGCGATGTGTGGTGGAAGCTGTCAGAAGAAGCTTTTGCAGTCCTTTAGATCCGAGATCTATGGCCGTCTAATACTGTTTGGACCTCATTTCTATTTCTATTTATATATTGTTTCTACTAGCTTCTTGTTACTACTAGTAAGGCCCTTGCTCCTAGTAGCGATGCACTTGTTCCAAAGATCAACCATTAATTTGCACCGTGTATGATCCTGTTTCTTTGTGCTTCACCTGACATCTTGGGGCCTTTCTTCTTCGAACGTCGACGGCGAGGTCTGCCACCGTTTTGCTCGACTCTGTCCTTCGTCCTTCCTTCACGAAGTCAAACGAAGTCGTTCCGTGCCTCCAAACGCTGAGTGACAAGCGAAGTCTCCAAGCCCTCCAACCCCATCCAGGACACGGTCATCTTTCCTATTGGCATCTCGGTGCGGATGGGGTCGAGCTGCCGAGTCGTCGAGTGACCTGGGTGAGGAGGACTTCCTTCTCTAAATTGAGCTGAATCGAGGTGACATGTGGGCCACAAAACCAACATGCCAGTTCACAGCAAGTCTGGCCACAAGGCATCCGTCCCACGAGGGGCCTTTGCGCCAGGTGCCTTCCGACGTGGTGGCGTCCTCCGTCCCAAAGAAGGCGGTCGGGGAGGTGACTTGCTTGAGGGCTGAACCTGCACAACTAGGCACCGTTGTACAGCTGCACCCCTCGTTTTGCTTGGTTGTCATCAGCACCTTTCGTATTACCCATGGTCCACGTGGTCGGATCTCAATCTCAGGTGCTACTGTACTACTACGACATATAGAAGCGATAAGCCCCCACTCCCTTCAAGGTAAGAGGTCCAACCATGTCCAACCAACCTTATTCGTTGATACGGAGGGACCATCTCCCCTATCTCGACGGGCCAGGAAGACGGTTTCGACGGTGTCGCGGTGAAAACACCCACATGATCGTCACTCTTTTTCTCTGTGCTGCCATTGGTGGCAGGGTCTAGTTGACCTTGTTGGCATCCTTTGAACCCCGAGTCAGGGTTGAGCTCCTTCTCATTGCTACCCTCCTCTCCGGGGCCACCATTGGCTCTGCTCGATCCCTCGAGCCGGGGACTGCAATGCTGCCCAGATCCGCGTGGACGCGGGCTTCGTGGGCAGTTCCAAGGGCGGTCAGGTCGGAGATTCGACGTGAGGAGTGATGATTCTTTTCATTTTGATGTCGGCCCGCAGCCATGCATTTGCAGGGCCCAGCAAGGCTGGAAGGGTTTCGAGGAATCTAGAATATCATGGGAGTTGCTTGCTAACCAGCCAAGAACGGTTCTTAGACCATCTTAGACCATTTTGATATCATAATATGACGTTGGTGGCTTTGGTACTTTGGTCGGCTTTAGAGAACTAACGTCTATGACCAAGGCTGGTGAGCAACTTGCTTGGCAGGTAAAGGCGGTAAAGGGTCTCTGAAGGGCGAATGCATGGTAAAGGACTACAGGAAGAGCTCTAGGCTTCAAGATTGCCAGGAGGCGTCAAGATGACATGAAATTTGTCAAGCGTGCACTTATTGTAGACTCTTGATTGGTATGGATCAATAGAACTCCCGCATTTGGATGCACGAACTCGCGGACGGTAATCGACGCGCCCCCACTCAATCCCTTGCTGGGTTTCCAGCGGGTACTGGTGGGTAAATGGTGTGAGACCGTGAACGGCAAAGTATACACAAAAATATACAAATTAAATGAATCTCACTACGGAACCAGGCATCTACGAAGAAAGGCACAGGTTTCTCAAGGTCTCTGAATTCTTAATTATGACCTGGCTGCATATGGGACGACTGAAAGTCTGCTAGGCACTTTGCATCTAATTTAGGAGGCGTCTGGGTGTTTGATACTGTCGAATGGCTTACCCCGAAAAAGGGCATAGCGTACGTGTTGAATAAAGGCATCTTGTTTATCTTTTGAGACTTCCGGTAAATTCGGCCTTGGACATCGAGGATCATGAGTTAACAAGGCCAAAGGTTGGATATCTGTATGATACGGCGGATCATGAGGCATGGCATTTAACATCTTTGCAAGATACTGATATGTTACATCCGGATTAGGCAATGTAGGGCGTCTAGACACGCCACCTTCTTGGTAGGATGTAAATCCCAAACGTGTCAGACTGGTAGTGCCCTGCTTTTTATAAACGGGGATGAATTTTTGGCGGGAAAAGGTTTGAATGTGTTTAACAATCCACCGAAAATTTTCTGCAAGAACTCTTAATGATTTTGCCTTGACCGGTAGCAAGGAAACCTGTGGGTCGGCATATTGCAGTGTGTGATATCCTTTATCTTTTTTAATGCGGATGGGTAGGAACTGGTTTGACCAATGCATAAACGAAATTGCCAATTCGGTCCATGAGATGCCCGGATCACCTGGTGTGGTCGCGGTGCTAGGGTCTGGCCAAACGAGATCTGAGCAATATTTCCAAACCATGTACGTGAGATTAGCACCCCAGGTACTACACCAAAAGACTACTCTGTGCGGCTCTGTAGGCAATGTATATGGCTGGTTATGGACTCGCCACTGTCGTAACTTGTCTAGCTGTGTCGATTGAGGGTCAGATGGCTGCGAGCCAGTCGACCCTCCTGGTGGATTGGTACTATCTGACTTTGGGGTCGTTTCCATTCTTGCATATGCTATATCGAGCAAACAATTATAAATCTGCAAGAAAAGCTTCTGGGTGTTTTGCCAATGGCTATGAATGGGGGTGTCATTATATAATCACGAATCAAGAGTCTACATTACCATACAGACCATACAAATACATTACCCTTAGTTGGGTCATACACTTGTACAAGTTCTATATAGTTTTGCTACTTGCTTGCCTATGAGGCTGATAACCTTGCAGCCCATCCCGTGAGACAAGAGAAGGAATATTTAATTATTCATTAGTCAATAGCTACATTCTTTCACGTGTCCTTGCCCCGCTAACAGCGATCAAGACATGGCATGGCCCCCTATATTATACATAATGCCCATCAGAATCACATTCCTCCTCAGTATGCACCATAGAAGCTTCAAAGACCTAAAAAGCTTCATTGTTACTAATAGCGATGGCCTCCACCTAGTAGCTTCTTGTTCCTCCTCAGTATCCTCCTCTGAAAAGTTTGTGGGTCCAAACATCCGCTGCTGTTGCGATGGTTGCTGCGGTCAGGGAATTGAGTCCAAAATCCACCCAGTGAGTCCAAAACCGTGGAGGTCTCCGAGTACAAGTTCGGTCCCATGGAGGAAGCGAGGCGGATCGGAACCACCAGGGTTTGCTGATTGGGCCGAGTTTTCGTGTACTCTTATACGTAGCATCTTCATTCCTCCAGTGAGGGAATCCTTGTGAGAGAACTACCATTTTATTAGGTTGTGTGACGGGATCCCTTGAAAACGCCCGGGTGCTTGATAGTTCTGCATTTTTTAAAGCATCACCCGGCAGTACCGGTATGCCCTCGGTTTGAGTGGAAAGCACTGGGAGCGCGAACAGCGACTACGTCGTAGAATTGGCTTTCCACCACTTGCACTTGGCGCGCTGCTGGAAATGCAGCTGGCTGGACCAGTCGAGCCTGAAATGGACAACACATACAGAGAGAATGATGAAAACCCTTTCTCCCGGTGACAGCAGTGCTTGTGGACTTGCAGTCTTACTTGGAATAAGCACGTGGCCGAGGGACTTCATGGGTGCTTCGTAGTATGATATCCCTTTGAGCAACAACTAGGCTCGACTGATGACTTATAGCTTATAGAGAAGGTGATCGTTGGTACTGAGCTAGAACCTAAAAAACAGCAGGCCCCCTCCCACGTGATACCCATTTCATATATCTTTGGAACACTTTTGGAGGCAGTTAGCCGCAGTGTCGCTAAGTTTGATGGAAAACCGCTTGGCAACTCAGGGTAGTCACTGGTAGTCCCTCTGAGTGTCACTTTTGGAGGTTGATGACAGATCCATGTACTGAAAGAGAACCATGCTTGTACCCGTGTGGCAAGCGTGCTTTTCTAGTTCAACTCTTTCCACATGCAAGCACCTACCTTACATGGTTTCTTCCACCTACCTCACTGAGGCACTTGGCGCTATGTTTGCGTCACTGACATGACATGCTTAGTTTGTTTCGGAGATGCACCCTCGGATTTTCCTAGGTCCCTGGCGGACAAGGTCCATAAGATTTCCATTTTGCAAAGTCAGGGATCTGGGTCTTGATGAGGTATGATCTAAAAAGATCTCTGGAATAAGGTAAGCAGATTGAGTCCCAATTGAGATGTCCGATCGGATCCATTTCCCTCGTTGCTGGTAGCACCAGTCAGTAGACCCTCAATGCGGTCTACACGACTACACCACTCTGGCCCTTTAAGTGCTCTCTGTTGCTCGGCTCCGGTCGCTTCTAGGTATCACGACTTCTATCGACGCCATCGCTTTGCGCTCACCAAGTGCAAGGGCGGTTGGGATGCCCCTCGGTGGAGGTTCTCCACGGCTGTAGACTTGAGGGGCCCAGAGAGAGCTCCTAGTAGCGTCCTTGCTCCTAGTAGCGATGCCAGGAGCCCCTAGTAGCTTCTTGTTACTAGTAGTAAGGCCAGGAGCCCCTAGTAGCGTCCTTGCTCCTAGTAGCGATGCCAGGAGCCCCTAGTAGCGTCCCTGCTCCAAGTTTCTTTTTGACTAAGTCTTCAATTGCTGAACTGCTGGTTGCAGGTTCTTTCTGTCACGGCGGGTTCTCTGGGGGTGAACATTTGCGTCCGAAGATAGCTGGTCCTGCTTAGCAGGCCTAACTTTCAATGACTATATAGTGGTTACAACAAGCATCCCCGCAAGGGCTGTTTAAGGGGAAGTATAGGGAGCTCCGATGGTTGTACTTAATAAAAATATATACTAAGGGCTTGTTCTTTTTGTTCATCCAAAGTCCAACACAGCAAAGTCTCGAAAACACAAGTGGCTGAGATGCAGCATCATTTTAGGGCGTGTTTGGATGAAGGACCTTGATGTGGGTTTGTGTCAGAACAAGACTCGCTGAAACCACCCACTATATAGAGGACAACTAAGGGAAGCGTCCCAGCGGCTCTTTTAGTCTTTCCAAGACCCCCAAGACCCTCAGCCTCTACAAGCCTCAGCAGCCACAGGCCTTCCGCCATCCAGAGATCCTGGCCATGGGAACCGCCAGGGCGCCAAAGCGGTGCGAGAAGAGAGTCGGTGCGAAACGGTTTGGCTTCGGCCGCCGGTCGTTGATCGTCACACAGTTTTTGCTCATCGGTTGCTTTGGAGCGGCGGCTTGAACGAAAACGAAGATCAATGAACAAAGCAAACTGGAGTGATGAAAGAACAATACTTAGTCAAAAAAGAGCAAACCACATGTCAATTCTTGGTCATTATTGCTCATTCGCAGTGAATGACCATGAGGCTGGCCCCTTCCATGTTGTCCTAGAACTCTTACTGTATAGAAAGATACTTTTTAGCTGCTTCCCCTTTCTGTGACTGGTGACAAGTTAGGCCGCAACTTCTTTGAACCTGAAATCCGCTAGCGGCTCTGCGAACGTTGAGGTTTGTTGCAAGAAGTTTATTTTTGATGATGGAGCGGAATGCTTCCATCTAAACCGACATCTATTTACTGTACAATCAGTTGCCATGCAGCTTGTCTAATTTCTGACAGTTGAACCTGGATTCCAATCTCCAATTTGATGGGCCTTGCAAATGATGGCCAATCTACTGGCTGGATTACTTGCAGCCATTCATGTTTGCACCAGAGGTGAGGCTGGATTCCCGCGAGCCTCCCGCAAGAAAGACCAAATGTCCCACCACCGCAGTCTCAAATGCTGCACTGAGCACGAGCCGCACGAGGCGCACGAGACGATGTTTGTCAGGGTGTTGATGAGCGGAAAAGAGTGAAAGAACAGAAACACATCTACTCCCAACCTATGGTCTCATTCACCAGGGTCTGAGTTCAAGAAAGCATTTTTCTGGTTCTTTGAAAACACCAAATACACAAAAGCACACAAGCACACTTTTGGCACGGGCGACTCCTGAGGTCCCGCGCTTCGCCGGCTTGGCGAAGGCGCGCGGCGCTTCGAGCGCGAAGGAGCCGTCTGCGAGGTAGAGCAGCTGCGGTGGGCGGCGGTGGGCGGTGGGGAACCACGGGACCGGTGTGGTGTTGTTCGGCAGAAGAGTGGTTTGGAGCAAGGGGTTTTAGTGACTTAGTGTCTTCTAGAAGAACAGGGAAGAGCAAAATTCATTTTCTGAGGTTAAGGCTTTCAGGATGTAGTTCCAAGTAAAGCCTGTACCTCTCTGCATCTATTTCAAATGGCTGAGGAGTAGAATCTGGAATCTTCCAGTTGCACCCTCGAGGTTGCAAAACTTGAGAACTCCCATTGATCCAGGAGCTTGCGTGGTCTGAACGGACAGATGACCTGGCCTCTCTTGAAACAACCAACCATTGTGGTGTCCGAGTGAGACACGACATGACTTGACATTGGCACTAAGGCACCGCCCTTCACGGTGCCGTTCATCCCAAAAAGCTTACTTTTGCAAGCGGAAGAGGAGCAGGGAGGCCCAAGGGAGGCAAACACGCTCAGGGGACGTGCAGGGTTGTGTTTGTACTTGGGTCTATGGGTAGATGAGGAGTCTAAGGAAACCTGAAAATGCTGCTCGGTGTTTTGGCCTTTTGCTAGCTATGGCTCCAAGCCAATCGCATGCCCTGGCACTCCCCTGGTCAGTGGCAACCATGAGGCTCGTCAACGGAACGGGTGTGTGGGTCCATCATTTTGAGCCGCCAATCTCATTTTGTGAAGCAGGGACATTCTTTCCACTACTGGGAGCAAGGACGTTACTAGAGGCTCCTGGCCTTACTACTAGGAGGACGCTACTAGGGGCTCCTGGCATCGCTACTAGGAGCATTCCTCCCCCACCCTGTGGCGGACCTGCCACACTTGCCACACTGGCCATGACCAATGCGACGGCCCGACCAAGGCTGCGGCCCTACTCCAAGCATTTGGAAGCTGTCTACAATGTGCCCTCGCCCTGTTCGGGGCAGCTGTTGGGAGTTTGGTGTGGGAAGGAGGAGGTGTCACTGAGATGGAAAGGCATATTAATGCATATTATATGAATAGATAATATACTACTGACTAGTAACTTAGGACTTGTCGGACATACACGCCAATTCCAAAAGCCTATGTCATCAGGATTGATCCAACATTGGCATTTCCTCTTAAGGCCTATGTCATCAGGCCACAACCATCAAATTCATAGAAAATATGTATGAGGTATTCAAGGAAGCAGCGCCCACAAAAACACATAGTCGCACCCTATGTCATATGTCACCACTATGTCACCAGGGTGCCAGGCAGTGGTATCTAGCATTATTTTAGCTGTTTATTATTATTTTATTTTTTGTCGAGGAGGTGTCCACAGGTCCCATGACACCAGGTTTCCCAACCCAGACTTTCTTTTTTGCTCGATATGTCAGGGCACATGACCTAGCCCTGAGGGTAGCCAGATTGGTATGTCACTTGCATCACGTTGGCCTAAGTCATTAGACAGTAGTATATATTGTAAAAATCAAATGAACAAACGCACTATATATCACTATATCTTATAATATCTTATATATGATATATTGATATATCATATATATATATAAGATATGATATGTATACTATATAGATATCACACCCCAATTAATCGGGATACCTGTTGAGGTCCTGGGAGATATACCATTTTCATACTGAGACGTGAGAGACCATCAGGGAGAGGGTCCAAGAGCGGAGGTTCCTCCAACACGCTCCGTGTCATTGGTGCAACCTATGAGTGTGAAAGCCCGACACCTGAATTACTGGGTTGACATGATTCATGAAGCTTGAAGGAGGCTCGCCATGGCAGTAGGGGTGAAAACGACCAAGTTTTGCCAGCTGCATGGTAGTTCCAAATACTGAAAACACCACCAAACCACTGAGACCAGCTTTCTGTTTTCCGTAGGTCCGTCTCCAGCTCTGTACGATCTAGGCGACGGTTTTGCAGCTCTTAGATCATACCCGGAGGCCTGTGGGTGGGGACGGAATGGTTTCAGGACAAGAATGTCTAAGCGATGTGGTGATCTCGGTCCATGATCAGCAACCGGATGTCATGAATGGCGCGATGCGACCCTTGTTTGACCTCTCAAAGCATGGCAACATACTATGGTTCCACACGATGTCCATGGGCTTGCTTTCAGGTGCCTCACTGCCGAGTCCATGGCGGCACGAGCTGGAGCCCTGGAGCCGAGCGAGGTGGCTGGACGATGAGGGAAGACCATTGCCAATGACAAGACCCATTGCCAATGATGGCCATTTCTTTGAGCTTGGTTCTGCTCCTTGTTTTGCCCATGGGTTGCCGGAACCGTTGTTTGACAGAGGGAATGCCAGTTGATTTGGTTCTGTAAAACGTGTAAAGTGCAAAGGACCCATTGGCCAACCTTTGCGTCCAAGTTGAATGGGTTCAAGTGAATGGCTGTGGCAGTCAAGACACATCCAGAGATCAGCTCTACGAGTGCTGTAGCACCTGTTGGTCACGACAGACGGCTAAGCAGTGTTTGGACCAAACTGGCAAACTTTCGCTTTCTAACCTCCGAACCACCCACTAAACCAAGCGAGTGGCATCGCCAGAAAGACTGTCAGCCCAGCCCAGCCCAACCCTTGACAAACAAGCAATCCAATCGGAAGACCGAGGAAGACAGGCTCTAAGGGGATGTCCAAGTCCGATGAGTTCTTGGCTGCTCATAGCACCAGATTCGCTCAGGTGCTCCGCACAATGGGCTTGTGGCCCACGAAGAGGCCCTTGAAGCTCTTGTGCGCCAAAGAACCGGAACCAGTCGGGGTGTGGGTCGCAGGGACCATCGACTAAAAGATCCGCTCAACGTCTAGACAATCTGCCTTTGGCAGACAGGTTCCATTTGGTGAACCTGCGCAAGAGCGCTCAATAGAGGCATCAGGCGGCGAAGTTTCCCTTTTTGGCCTCAAGAAACATCGGTGAGGTGAAGACAAGATGGTGAAACCCTTGAAAACCATGAAGGATCCTCAAAGGGTTTAGATGCCAGGCGAAACAGTGGCAAGAATGCCACGTGTGGTTTCCTGTAATTAGAGTTCAATTCGACAACAACAACAACAACAACAGACTATACTATGCTACTGTAGAATATTGTGAACATGACTCGCTTATGGTTTTGACGCTATGCTGTGTTTGGGTGAAACACCACTGGCAGCGGTCGCCACTCAAGATACTCAAAAGCAGAACAATCATGTCAGGAAGCCTCTCTCAAGGAAAAGCTTCCTCACTCACACTATCAACATGAACTCGAAGAGGTTGGTTTGGCCATATGGATGTTTGGCCGAATGGGTATTCCTGACAAACGGTTCTGCAGGCAAGAATCCAGTTTGGTTGATCGCCTTGCCCGGAAGCACGACCCCTGCCATCTTATATAGAAGCAAAGCTGAAACAAATCAAGAAACATTCCCTGAACACCGACATACGATTGGCAAGAGCATTGCTCCATCTGACAATCAACAAAATCAAGTGATGTCTAAGCCGGTTCGCTTGCGTTGTTGCAGAGAAAACCGGAAAAATAAACAACAATTTGATTTTTAGATAAAACACATTGTGCGACAGACCCAGAAAAAAAACGGTCCAACAAGAACATGTTCATTTTTTACAATTTTTACCGCGCGTGCGGGAAACACATTGCAATTATATACAACTCTACTATTTTGTTGTTTTAACCGCACCCTTTAATTGGTAGGGCAATTTGGCCATCAGACCTGGAACAAAACGATCCTAAAAAAAGAATATCACTGGTTTTGCAGCGCCTATCGGCGCCTATCGGTAGAATCCATAGCTGCGAGACTTGAACAATGAGATGAGAAGACGAGTCTTGAGACGAACAGAAAGCAAGAGCTCTGTAAACAAAAGGTCAGACTTGAAGCAAAAGGGTTATAAACCGAAAACAAATTAGTTGAACCATGGGATTGCGCGGATCCTTTAAAATATCCAACCTGGAAAAACGGTTGAAACCACCACATCAATATTTGCACCGCGCGTATAGTTGAAATATGTATAAAATAGACACATAGCTGCCCGACCCAGAAAGAACACAAATCGATCTATACTGCGTTACCGCGTGTGTCGTAAACAAAGGGCGACCGACCTGGAAAAAAACGGTAAAAAAGAAACTGTTCGATCTTTACCGCTTTTACCGCGCAGGTGCCTCGGCGAACCCCGTAGCCCGAGCAACACCGCTAAACCAGCACAGCGAATCTCGAAGTTTCCTTATGCACTGGCCTGGTGCAGCACGCTTCGTGCATGAGTCCTCTAGCCGTCGAAGAATACAAATCTCCGACATACCCTTCACAATGCCACCGATTTCAACCATGCCAAACCAGAGATTGTGGGATATGATGAAAGGGGTCACGAACAAACCAATCGTTGTGGGCGGCCTTTTTCCGGACCATCTGTTGCCAGTTGGAAGGGGACACCGAACCACTGGCGATGCAGGCGCTCAGTGTGACGGAAACGGAGTGATTCAACCAGCACATCTGGCAGATGATGCTGATGCCGCAAAGTCCGAAAGCTGGTAACTAAGATTCCATGCTCACATTTTTGAAGCAGCCAAGATTCTGCGTCTGCTTGTCAGGCTTGCCTGCAAAAGCATGAACTTCTCATCTTCTTTGGAAACAGCTTTATGCGCAGGCGCAATCTCGAGCAGGGATTCCTGCGCCTCTTGCACATTCTTCTGCGGAAAGCGCAACCTTTGATGCAGTTGAATAGAGTTTGAAGAGCGACTCAAATCCATCGTCATAGCACTCAGATAAACTCAGCCTGAGAATTCCCAGCTATCCAAAAGTCTCTTCCTGGCAGAACACTCAAACCCAAGCGACCCCCAAAAATTGCTGGCCACCACCGATTACAAGTCTCCAAACTCCTCCCAGTCACCACACTTCATCATGTGAAGGGTGCATATTGGGGACATACTACGTCTCTGTCCAGATGTGTCGTGGCTTTGCTCGTGCCTTCGCACGCTTCAACCAAGGCGGTCAGCTTTGCCGGACTCACCGTCGGAGTAGACCTGCTACAGGCGTCAATGAACACATGCCGTGTATGGAGTCTGGCAAGTTTCTCATGCAAAGCTCCATGCTGGGAACATGAGTGACACCTGTGAGTCAGGGTGTGCAGAGCAGTAGCGGTGCTCAGGAGCAGCATACACAATCTCTTGTCAAATCATAAAGCGTGTTTGCCTTCTCTGTGCCAAGAGCGCCTTCAGTCATGTGATGTGGAAAGATCATGAAAGATCAAAATCAAAGCCCCACAGGCCAGCAACAGGGCAGCATGCCGAGAATGAACCTCTTAGTACGAATCTGAATGATTTGCAACCTCAACTCAGTCTCTCCCAAAGTTGTCACCAGTAAGTCTATATTAGTAGGAACTGGCAGACAAAGTTTGTCCATCCAACTGTCAGACTGTCACCAAAAGATGTTCCAAGCCTTGGCACTGTTACAGTAATCATTTGGCGCTTACCACCTGCCGTAACTCCAGGATTCTACCCCAGGTGAACATTTGGATCTAAAGGGTCGTGGACAAGTCCAAGAGGGACCAAAGAAGATGCCCCTGCAGCCAGTCACTCGTGTCGGAACACAAAGGCCCTGGCGGTTCCAGTGCAAGAGGTCACCCATAATTCCTGCATTCCCTTTGAACACAACAGCAAACGTACCTACAAGTACTAGCAAAAGGAACCTAATAGCCTAATAGCGATGGCCTCCAACCGACTCGTGATGGCCTCGGACACCGGCGAAGCTTCCCATTCGACTTCTCCAGGTACGTGACTTGTGGTTTTGGCTACACTGGAGCAGGTGCGACCCCCCAACGTGCCCTTTTACCGCCGTGTGCGGTTGGTATTGGCACCCCATGTTCGTCCAGACCAGGTCCCAGGTCTTTTTGTTCCAAGTCTTGGAAGTAAGGAGACAAGAGCTTCACAGCCACAAGACAAGGAGGTTGACAATTCAGGCAGCTAATGAGATCTTCTTGGTTTTCTTTCTTCTTCCGGTGACTCAAAGCCGATTCACTCATCACTGGCGCCGGTGTGCGTCTACTGTAAGAGCTTCCCAGTGACGGGATCTCTCTGACAGGTGATGGTTGGCAAGGACCTGTGAGCATTGGTGCTGCCGGCCCGTGTTGACTCTTTGAGATGATGTGGGGTTGGCGATCTTGGGATCCAAGCAGATGCGTGGATCGAAGAAGAATACAATTGAGAAATCTGTTGCTTAATGGCCCCAGGGAGTGTGTGGGAGTGTGTGGCTTTCTTTGTTTTGCATGAAGCACTGAAAATCACTCCATTGGAATTGTCGGTGATGCTTGGGTCTAGGCTGCAAAAATTAGGCCTCCCCACCTCCGAAGTTCGGGGGTCAAGATTCTCAGCTTCAAGCTGCTTCCCTTTCAGGAAAGTCCGTGCATATCGGATGAACGATATTCATCATTCGCAACCCAGAGAAGCCCCAGCATCGGCGCTGGTTGAGTTCCCGCGAACCTGCTGTTCAAAAACGTACATTCCATCACCTTTGCAGCGACCAGATAAGAAGCTGAAGTTCAGCATGGAAGGAAGTGCATGTCCCTCTTGAACACGGACTCCTCCAAACAGCAGTTTCGTAGAGGAAAAAAGAAACACCAGGAAAGCCCGGCCCGCCCTTGTCCGTCCGACGCTTCGGCCTCTCAAGTCTCCGAGTCCCGCCAGGGCTCTTCTTGGGACTTCAGGCCTTGCTGCGCGAAGTGCCAGGTCCGGGCACCGGAAAAGCCTCAATTTGGTCTGACCTGGTCCAACCCCCACTTTTTCGTGGTAGACCAGGAAGAATTTGGGGCTTCAAGGCTCAAATTCTCCTGGAAGAATCGAGGCATACCGGAGTTTTAGTCTCACCAGGTGAAGTGACCGGGTGTAGCCTGACTAACTGAAAAACAAGGCTCTCGAGATGAATTCAACGATATGATCGATATGAAGAAAGACCTTTATGCATTTTTTATGCCTGAATCTTGGGTGCTGATTTCAAAAAGGCTCCTACTCACGATCATCCACTGTTCATAGATTCAGACCAGGTCAAAGCTTGGCGGGAGGAGATCAAAGATCGGCGAACCGTTTTCCGCAGTCGCTGATGAACGAATGCTGCAGATCCAAACACATGCTGAACAAACGTGTTGAACCTAGCCCAAATATGCCTGCTATGAAGGGAATCTGAGAATACCTAAGGGCCAATCAGTTGCTCAAAAGGGACATATCTTCAAGGTTTTATCCGCAGAGCTTTGCCACTTATATATATATATATATCTAATCTCATGTCTTAGAAGACACACATACAAAAGTGGAACACAAAACCGACTTTTGACCCCCAAAAGAACCGCAATGGGTCGATGGGTCAATTGGTCAATCCCCTTCCGCGATCGTGGGGCCGCAGTGACGTCAGGCTCGAGGATCGTGGATGGGCCAGTTGCTGGAATGCAGATGGGCCGGGCTTCAGGAGAGAAGCTCAAACATTTGGTTGGTCCTGGACCTGAGTAAGACTTTGGGATGACTCCTACTCAGACTCGAAAACGACATGAAAAACACCACCTCCTGGCTTTGGATCGGATCCAGCGACCTTTAGAGGAAGAGTCTTCCTGGTATCTAAGCATATCTTGCAGCCACCAAATGATGGAAAGCGGAACTTTTGCAACTTTGTCGTGCTATCAGCATTTGGGAGGGTGAGGTTTGTCTAGAAATTGGAAGGATTGTTTCGACATGGACTGGACGGCCAGAAGAGCTTGGTTTGGTTGTACGAACCTCTTCTCCTTGAGGGTTTGAACACCTTTCTGATTGGTGATTGGACAGTAACGATGATGGAAAGTAGATAAGCAGGTGATTTCAATTCTTCCCCTCCCACCCATCGCTTGACGCTGGCAATTCTGTACCCTTTGCTGCAGCAACATGCGGCTCATTCAGAGCTGGATATCAGTATAGGGCAACATAGGGCAACTACAACAAGATTTGGAGGATCAAATTCACGCACTCATGTGAGAATTTGTGAGAATCAAGACCGCCAATGTGAGAATCAATGTTCACATTCCTTTTGCTATTAGGTGGGAGACCATCGCTAGTAGGTTGGAGGCCATCGCTATTTGGTTGGAGGCCAGCGCTACTAGGTTGGAGGCCATTGCTAGTTGGAGGCCATCACTATTAGGTTGGAGGCCATTGCTACTAGGTCGG